AAATAAAATATAAACATACATGGTGTGTTTTAGTATTTATATACAAAATTCAAAAAAAAAATTACATGTATTTTAGATTTAATAACCTGTTTGCTAAATTCATGAGAATTTGATCAATATTTCAATAACTTCTAAAAATTACAATTAATGAGAATTAATGGTCAATATTTTGTTATAAATGTTAGACCTATAAATAAGCTAGTATTTATATATCAAGAATTAACTAGAAATTCTCAAAACTATTCTGAATATTCATTAATTTTAATTAGGGGTATTTTTTACCATAATATATGAGTTATTAAAGACCCTATCTCATTCTAGGATAAGTAAATCCTGTTAGGACACTTACATGGACCCTTTTCTATAAGAATTCATGTAGACAAATGAACTTATAATAAATTTGAAACACTAATGAGTGAATTTTTATCCTAAGCTATAGACAAACCACATATTAGGAACCCATTAAAATCTTTAAAATCTAGATCATATAATGTAGCATACCTCAAGTGGGATGCATTAGGGGTGCTATTATCTTTCCTAGTAACAACTAGTTCCTTTCCCTTAGAATTTTTTATAATATAAGTAAACTCAGGTTTTTATGAAACCCTAAACTAAACAATTAGGTGGCAACTCCCTTACCCCTGATATCACGCGCCCATATGCTATAAAATGGCTACTCTACTAGAGAATTTTGTGTTTTATAGTAATGGACTAGGCTTTGTGTGGTTTTTGTGGTTTATGTGATTTGGTATGTTTTTGCATTTGGCTTTTTTTATTATTTTATTTATGCTTCAACATGTTTTATCCTGCTCGTGTATGTATGTTGAATATGGATGAATGTCTTAATGCATCACTAGTTTATTTGTGATATATTATTTTAAAATTCACATCAATGGAAACTTCAAGTTAGGTGGAGGAGTAGCGACTTTATGAATTTCAGTCAAGGTTTAAGTTTGTGAAACCATTTGACTCTTTACTGAGTGCTTAGACTGGTAATTATTGATATACATGTCATCACATTATCTATTAAACCCTCATATTACCTTCACGAGGGTGATCACTAGGATAACAAGTAACCCTTTTTAGAGACCAAGTAGTAAAATTATCTCATATCTCACGTAGAAGGATTAGAACCTACCTTTAGGGTGTATGATCCCTAAACATGTTTTGCATCAAAGCAAGCCCTTCATGTAACATCTTGATTTCAAAATTTATGGGTAACACAATGGTCATCACTTAGAAAATTTTTGTTATAGTGATTGGGTAAGAATCAAAATTCTTATTCATCATGTAAAAGTAATGACCATATGTCGCCCCTTGAAGGGTAAGTTCATCATATAAAAACATGCTCATACATTTAATATGTATGCTTGTAGGTTGAAATATAGGTTCTCCAAATCTAGTTTTTCCATAAAGAGTCAAGAGTTGCGAATGTTTGACGGTGTTAGGGAGAATTTACTAGACTTCCAATCCATAAGCATCATTGTGGGTTTTTCCAAGTCGGTAACAAGAACCTCTTCTTTACTATGAACACAATTTCGAACCTATAATCGAATGTTATTTATGAAGTTTTGATGCATTCATCAATGGAGACTGTGGAGAAATGTAGGTTTCTTTCCAAGAAGTGCAATAAGTTAACTTACAAATCCAAACTAAAAGTTTTGAGAAGATTAGTTTTGGAAGAGTAGTTTTGTTTGTCTTTACAAACTTACTATGCTAAGCATTTAACAAGTCTTTACTATATAAATATTGTAAAAAAAATTGTGAAAAAACAACAAATAACAAAAACCTTAAAAAATGTGACTTTAACATATTTTCATCTCTTAGCATCTTTTCTAAAGAATTTAAAATTAAAATAAATATACTTTCAACACGTTTAGTTGTTAATGCGCTTATTGAGTTGATGTTGATCTTTTTGAAAAAAATAGAATATAGAAAAATAAAAAATATCAAACTATAAATGGATAAAGGGATCAAAAGTGTAAAGGAAGAAAATAAAGGACCAAAAAAATTTTATTAAAGGGAAGAGGACAAATTTATTCCACCTATAAATAGGTGGTTATATCACACAGAAATAAGGGAGAGATTTGTTACGATGTTGCAGTCACATAAATTAATTATCGTAACTTAAATAAACAAAATAGCATAGACCAAGTAAGGGATTGACCCCACAAGAAAGGCTTAGTCAAGTTTTTATGTTAGGTGATATGAAATAGAGGGAGGGGGGTTTGATGTTATTTAGGTTATGCTATGGTAAACAAAATGAAACAATCATGCTAACTTAAAGAAATCTGAAATTTATCAAGAGAACAAACTTTGGTCTTAAGTAGACATCTGTCTACAGAAATCAAAACTAATCATTGAAACAAAATATCAATTTATATTATGAATATTTATCTTTTTTTTAATATTAGTTAGTTAACTAATCCGCAGTGTAACTAACCCTAACTATTAAACAATTAGAGTGTACGCACTACTAATTTAATTAAATGGTAGCCTTAAGAACTAGACAACATAAATGGTAATCTTGTCATATATGTATAGAAAGGTATAAATGTTAACTTTTTAATGCTGCTAGAATCACTTTAGTTCAACCTCTAGAACTTAAAATTTGCATAAAACATTGATTGGGAGTCAAATTTGCCTTCAAAACATAAAATAAAGAATATCAAGGTATTTTCTATATAAAATATACACAAAATACTAGACAAATATAGATAAAATTATCAAATAATATAGTTGTATCAAGATTTTAGAGGAGAGAATTAGTGAGAAAAAAATCACACACACAAAAACATTCTCCTAAAAGACATCTATAAAATAAAAAATAAAAAAACCCTAAACTCATTATTCAAAAAACTAATTGCTAGCCATGAAAAAAATCTAAAAACAAAACCCAAAATTCCATCTCCTCTAACTCATCATTGATCTCAACACTAGCAACCACCAACCAAGTTCAACAACTCATCTCCATCCTTTTTTTATATTGACATATGAGAAAAAAAAATAAAAAAATGAAGGCAAAAGGCCATCTCCTTTTCTCATTGTTGAAAACTATACTCCCCTTTCCCCTGTAGCTAATCATCCTATATGCCTGGAAACTAAGCCCATATATATGGTCTTATCATAATTTATTCATTTTTTATTTTTTTGAAAACAAATTAGATAACAACATAATATTTTTTTTGATAAATTATATGTTATACTTTTGTCTAGATTTTGGTAGCTAAAATAATTAGAAACTAGGTAAAAAGGCAAGGTTTTGTTTTTTTTAACCAAATAAAATGTTTTTCAATCAATTTTTTACTTGAAAACACCTAAAAAACCCCTTTAAGCCTTTAAAATAGCAAAACATTAGTTTAAAAAATAAAATAAATTGAGACCATATATCTTACCAAACCCTAATCTATTTTTTTAGTAAGAGTGACTAAAGACCACCATCATCAAACTCTTCTTATTAAATTGAATATTTTGACATCAAAGTTAATCATTTTTGTTGGTGGAATTGTGATAATTAAATACTTTTTTCTCTTTATAATTATTTTTCAGTGAGTTTCTCTCAAAGCACTAAAAACTGATAAAATAAATTTTAAAATCAAAGTATAAATTGCTAAAATTTAATATGAAGTATATAATTCCTTTCAAGCTTATATTTTAATCCTTTATTTTTTAATATATAAGTTTATTATAATTTCAAGGTTAATTTTATTCAATTAGATTATAAAGAGATTGAATTGAAAAAAAATATTTGAAAGAATCAAGACCTTCTTTAATATAAAAAATGAAGCTCTAGTTTTTTTAATTTGTTTATGTAATTATCACACTAGTATTTTATTTTAAGATTAAAATACACTAACACTAAAACATTAAAGGGGGACTTAATTGAATGATTTATGTTTTGATTTTTTTTAAACTAGCTTATTAATTAAAAAAATATCTATAATCTCACATCTGAAAATTTATTTTTTAAAATAATATAATTTTTTTGAGATGTAAAGATTGCACGATATATATGGACATGTAAGTGACCTACATGTCCAATCAAATTAAAATTGATAGAATTATTTTTTTCATTTATTTATCATTTTCTCCTTTTTTATCATTAATTTAAATATCTATGACATTATACATAAACACAACCTACCAATTTATTATTATTATGACAGTGACATGAAAGTGTATTATAAAAAATTCATATAATTTAATGAGTTACACGCATAAACTGAGATGTAATAAATTGATGCCTGTTAGTTTTTTTGGTAAAATTTAATAAATATATTATTTTTATATTATATATGATAATAAACATTTTGTTATGTATTACGTGAATTATTTTATATCAGAGGGCCGAAGAGCCTCTGTTGTGGTTCAATGGTATTCATGATGCAGTGCATTAGATGGATCGCGTATATGTTACTTGTACGTCTTTAAAAAAAATGTGCTCTTTTAAGAAATAAATTTTCAATTTTGCTAATCTGGATATTTTTTAGTCAATGTGCTTTTTTTATTTTTTTTATTAACTCTTTTCTTTTTCTTAATAAAAAAAAATTAGTGATGGACCCTCCCTGTCTATGGCCTACCCTCGAAGATCTGCTACAACTCTGCCAAAAACCTATATGATTTGAATTAGCGAATTAACCTTCCCAAATGTAGGGATGCCTGTCACTTCTGATCTGTTAGTTGAAAAAATAATTAAATAAAGAGAGCTTTCAGTGATCTTCTCAAGGGAATGTTCGGAAATATGATACATATTATATTTTTTTTAATTTTTATATTTAAAATAATTTTTTTATATAATTTCTGATTATTTTAATAGGTTACTATTAAAAATAATTTTTTTAAAATAAAAAATTTTATTTTAATATATTTCTATACGAAAAATAATTTAAACCATCGTTTCAATCCCAAGCCCAAACGTGCCATTTATTATTTACCTTGACCATAGCAATTCATAGATTTTTGCTTCAAAACATCCCCTTTAAAAAGGAAACCTTCAAGCGAAAAAAACTAAAGTGGTCATCTACTTCGCTAAGAACTCTTCCTTATTTCCTTCTTTATTAAAAGAAAGAAAGAGAAATACCCGCTATCCGGCCCTGAAACTCTTATCCTTTAGGGAAAAAGATGCCATCTCCGATCCAAGACCCTTTCAAGGACTGGAAATTCCTGGTTTTGCCACCACTAAAAGTCAGTGATGTCTTCTCTTTATTCCTAAAAGCAACTATAGCTATTTGTACCGTCGTTTCAATCTCCCTCGTCTTCTACTCCTTCCTTAATCCATCTCAACGGCTACCTTGCCCAGAATGCAATAAGATATTAAACTCTGATCACCGGGAGATAACAAACGGTGAGGTTTCTGGTTATAGCTATGAGAAGACAAATATTTCCCACATTTTATTCGGCATTGGTGGCTCTGCAAAGACGTGGAATAAGCGCAGACACTACACTGAGGTATGGTGGATGCCTAACATCACCCGTGGCTATGTTTGGCTCGACCAGAAGCCTCCGGGGAATGACACGTGGCCGTTAACCTCACCATCGTACAAAGTCTCTGCCGATACGTCGCGGTTCAAGTACACCTCCTCGTATGGCTCTCGGTCAGCGCTACGAATTGCTAGGATAGTCAAGGAGAGCTTTGATTTAGGACTGGAAAATGTGAGATGGCTGGTCATGGGAGATGATGATACGGTATTTTTCATAGAGAATTTGGTATTGGTATTAGCAAAGTACGATCATAATCAGATGTATTACATTGGCGGCAATTCAGAGAGTGTTGAGCAAGATGAGATACATTCATATGCCATGGCCTACGGTGGCGGCGGCTTTGCTATTAGTTATCCTCTAGCGAAAGAGCTCGTTAGGATTTTGGATGGCTGCCTTGATCGTTATGCATCGTTTTACGGTTCCGATCAGAAAGTTCAGGGTTGCATAAGTGAGATTGGGGTTCCTCTCACTAAAGAGCTTGGATTCCATCAGGTTATTTTCTTGCTTTTTCCAAAATGATATGATTAATCCCGTGACACTTTCTACTTTTGTTGCAGCTACTTTTATTATTATTATTATTATTTAACTAGCATGTGTAAGGCTAAAACAAAAAAAATCAACATCTATCACACAGGAGACCGTGAAAAACTTGTACGTCCTGAAGAAAATTATAGAAAAAAGTACAGTATGCTATGCTGTAGTGTAAGATATCCATTACGATTTAGTTGATTAATTCAAAAGGATGATGATGAATTACAGGTTGATATAAGAGGAGATCCTTATGGTTTACTAGCAGCGCACCCATTGGCGCCATTGGTGTCCTTGCACCATCTAGACTACGTCCAGTCAATATTTCCAGGGCTGAGCCGCTTTGACTCTGTCAACAAGTTAATTACTGCTTATAAAACGGATCCGGGTCGGACTTTACAATATAGTTTCTGCTACGATTTGACGCGTAATTGGTCTGTTTCAGCATCTTGGGGTTACACCGTACAGTTGTATCCCGCTCTACTGACGGCAATGCAGCTACAAACAGTGTTTAGAACGTTTCAAACATGGAGGAGATGGAGCGAAGGGCCGTTCACATTTAACACCCGACCCATGAATGTTGACCCGTGTCTGAGACCGGTTGTTTATTTCTTGGATCGTGTTGAAAGAGTTGGGGATGGTACCTTGACAACGTATAAAAGGTCCGAGGATGAGTTGGATAAAGTTTGCGATCGGCCTGATTATGCTCCCGTTTATGCCGTCCAGTTAGTCAATGTCATAACATCCACATCATTGAAGCCTGACATTTGGAATATGGTGAGCTACTCTTCTCTTAATCTGCAAGCCTCGCTTTCAGCGTTCCTTGAAAAAGTTTAAGAGAACATTGAAAATGAATATCAATGTGCTTTCAATTTGGTGGATCTGTTAGGACAGAATTGTCTGGTTCTACCCTTAAATTTTTTATTTAGATTGACTTAAATGTTCGAATTAACTCAATTAATTTTTAAATTTACAGGCTCGAAATTAACAATTATATAATTTCCAAAGAAACTCAAATTTATAACCATAGAAAAACTAATTCAAAACCTGTCTAGTTAACTACTGCTGTACCCTTAATTCAAGGTAGGAAAAGTGGTACCGTTAATTTGGTAGTTAATTCCAGAAATCAAGAAAGAAAGGTCCAATTACTCAGTAAGGAGATTCAGTGGGTCTGTTAGGTCAAAACTCTGACGTAATTAGCATGCTATGTTGCCTATGGATTGGATGGCTCACTATTTATTCAACTAGCTCTGAATTTTCAATAGGGTTTGGACCCGCACTAGGGCATGCACATTTTCTCTTTCTTTTTCTATTCGGTATTGCGTGCCACTGCAATTTATGCGCAATTGGTGCTATAAACATGAAAAGATGGCACTGAATATCTGATTTGTTGAATGGAAAGCATTGGTCGTTTGATCTTTTATCTCGTAAGTGTCTAACACGTTTCCATGAATAATTGAACCATCAGGCACCACGTAGACAGTGCTGTGAGGTAATCAATGGAGAAAACAGGGTGAGCAGCATGGTGCAAGTCAACATCAGAGGGTGCCATGAGATGGAGAGCGTCACTCCATAAAACCCATCACTGATCATATAGGAGAGAAACACAGAATAGTTTACCACTAGCCTGTAAGTCCGCATTTCGTAACAGGTGAATAACAAAGCTTTTGTAAAATAAATAAATTAATAAATCAATACCCGAAGGTATTTTGGGCAGCACCCAACATCTAATTGGGTCTTGCACCGTGCAAACCCAAAGAAAGCAGCGGTTCAAAAAACTTTCAAGATGGTAGTTATGCGATAAATTCTATGTAATAATATTAATGATGATGATAATAATAATAGTTTGTAAGTTTGATTCTATGTAATAATATTAATGATGATAATAATAATAGTTTGTAAGTTTATTCTTGAAATTAAATCTATAATTATTTTTAATATTAAATTTATTTTTGAATTTTATTAATTACTATACTCATAATATTAATTATAATACAAATATGAATATTTGTAATACAAATAATAATATTTTTAATGTTAACAATATTAATTATAATAAAAGTAACAATATTTAGAAATAATAATAATAATAATAATAATAATAATCAATTAATTATTGATTTTATCCTTGAAATATATGCTTTTTTCTTTTGTCTATAGTAATCAAATTTATTGTAAATTTAATAACATTAATTAATTATTAACATTTATGATAACAATAATAATAATATTGAATTGTTTGGTCTAAGTTGTTATAGCAATAATATTTAAGGTGGGAAAAAATGTATGGTTTATCTTTGATGATAATAATAGTTTTTTTTTTAATATTGGTAATAATTTGTTTAAATTGAATAATTGCTATTCTAGTAATCTAAACTGTAATTAAAATAATAATTATTATAATATAAATAATAATAATCTTTTTTAAATTTAATGGTTTGATATGAGCAAATTCTTAAAACATTGCAGTTGTTGGGTCTACTTACAGCAATACTCAACAATAGTGAGTTCTACTAGCAGTTGAGGCTAGCAACAGGATCCACCACAGAACTCAGTAATAATGAGTTCTGCTGATAGTTTAGGTTGGCAATAGAATTCATTGCTGTTAGGTCTTAGTAGAAGTAAGGCCCAACTTTCTTGGATCCTACTTACTCAAATTTTGTTTAATCCAAAATATTTGGATCCTAACATGTGCAAAATTTAATTGGATATTGTGTCCTGCACCTGAATCCTACCAGGTGCAGAACCCATCATAGGCTTGGATCCTATCGGGTGAAGGACTGAAAATATTAAAATATAAAAAAATATTAATTTAAAATAAAAAAATCAATAAAAAAATCAATTTTTTTCAAAATATTTTTGAAACACCTTTAATAAGAAAATTCAACCCAATCTCAAATAAAAAAAAATATCATTATTTAATTTTTGTATAATATAAAAAAATCACATTAATTATATCCTTTTTATAATATGAAACAAAAAAAAATAATAAGAGAAATTCTTATCTCTTATAAGACACTTTTGTTATAATCAACCATAAAATAAATGATTTCATGCTATGTTTAAAGAAGAATTGAAGTCTGAATGCGTAAAAATATTAAAAGAAATAATATAAAATAATCAAAAGAATATTAATTTGAAATAAAGAGAAAAAAATAATTTTAGATTTCTTGTGTCTCTACCCTAAGCCAGACACAATCTTAATATATTTATTTTTTAATATATATTTAAAAATTATATAAAAAGAAAAAAAATTAAAGGAAAAAAATGAAAATTTTAAAATTGCTCAAGTCTAGTGTTATAGCCAAACACAATGTTAACATAATTTGTTTTCAAAATATAATAAAAAAACATGAAAAATATTAATAAGAATTTTTGACACACAAAATAAAATATGATGTAATTAAAAAATTCAACTCAACCTGAAATAGAAAAAAAATTATAATCACTTAACTTTTGCTTAATATAAACTCCCATTAATTTATTTCAAAATATGAATTTAATTGAGAGAAATATAATTTCAGTGACTATTGGAGTGTCGCTTCCAAACATTTCTAGTTGCTTATAAATTTGTTAGTCAGCTTATAAATTTGTTCCAGGAGAAATACTCATGTTATTTAGGAAGCAAACATGTAGGCAAGCAAATCAGGATTAGTAAGAATATGTAGAGTATTGGCATTGCGGAACCCAATCTCTTTTTGGTTTAGTGAGATAATGATATAGGCAAGAGCATGTAGGCAAATGACCAAAAACTCTAAGATTCAATAGCCCACAGTCAAACACTATATTGGGTCTTCCAATAGCTCTAGAAAGAGTAGGCTACGCCATTAGTCGCAAACTTTGACCAAAAACATAGTAGGGAACAGCGTCAAGGGTCTATGGCTGCGCAACCAAGCCCGACATCTTTAGAGGGTGTTGGGTCCTGCAGGTGCAAGAACCAAAATTGCTTGGGGTCCTATACCATGGAGGACTGAAATAGCTACAATATAAGCAATCTACCCCAGGTATATCAGTAAAAGAAGATTGTAAAAAAAAAAAAAAAAAAAAAACTTAATTTTCTTTGGTGGACGGATTGGGAATCCATGTTATGACATACGTGAGAATTCAATCCCTCATAACTCTCTATGCCTCTACACATTGTAAATATATATATCTTTTTTACTATACTATAACAACACCATTGAATATTAATATAAAATCAATGAACAATAAAGATGACTAGCTTCCAAAACCAGCAACCATACACAATTAAATTCCTTTGTCGTTATCTTTTCTAATTTACATTTATTTTTAAAAATAAATTGATGAGATTTTTTTATGTTGTACAAAAATTAGATGATGATAAAATTTTTCAATTTACAATTTGGGTTGAATTTTCTAATTAAATTATATTTGATTTTGCGTTTTGAAAATTTTTTGAAAAAAATTGATAATTTTGAGTTTTTTCCCTTTGTTTGAAATAAATATTTTTGTTGTGTTTTTGTATTATTTAAAAAAAATAATATGTTGAGATTGTGTTTGGTAGCGATGCTAGGCCCAAGAAATTTTTAAATGTTTTCTTTACTTCAAAATAATAATTTCTTCATATTTTTGTATTATTTTTTAATATTTGTTTAATATATATTGAGATTGTGTCTAGTTGAGAGGTGAGACTCAAGAAATTAAATTTTTTTATTTTTTTTACTTCAAATTAATTAGATCATGTTTGATTTTACGTTTCAAAAATTCTTTGAAAAGAATTTGACAATTTTTAAGTGTTCTCCTTTTTAAGTTTTTTCCTTTACTTCAAATTAAATTTTTTTTTTTTATGTTTGTTTATATATTTTTTTAAATATTGGAATTATGTTTGGTTGCGATGCCAAGCCCAAAAAATTTCCAAATTTTAATTTTTTTCTTTATATCAAAATAATATTTTTATTCATGTTTTTATATTTTTTAAAATATATTTTTAAAAAAATATTGAAATTTTATCTAGTTGATTTTGTAGAGTCTTTAAACCCAAAAGCGGTTAGAATAGACCTTAGCAGTTGGGTCTGCACCTAACACGTGGGTCTGAAGGCCTAAAGTGTGGGGTGTAGACCTTACCTCATGAGGTTGCAACCAAGCACGTGGGTCTGCCCTTAGTGCTTAAGGCTTGGCAAACTCTAGGTGTCTGCATGCAAGGGTCTTAGCCTGTCCTAGTGCCAAATAATGGTTGCCTGGAGCGCGGACAGGCAGTTTAGTGCTAGGGTAGGCACGCATGGCCAACCCAATGCCCAAGTGTGACAGCCCAAACATCAGGTATCCGCGGTTCGGGGGTGTGCATCCAGCCAGGTGCTTGAGGCCTATAGTAAGATGTTTTTTAAAAAATATTTTTTTTAATAATAATAATGATGATGATGATGATAGTTATTATATTTGTTTTTTTTCCAATTTTTTTCTATTCTTAATATTAATATATTTAATTAAAATTAAAATAATAATATTTCGAATACAACTGATAATATTTATCACATTAATAATAATATGAAACTTGCTTGACCGAAGTTAATACAATATTAATAATAGTATTTATCATAGTATTTATCACATTATTTATCAAATTATTAATTATAATATACATAACAGCGTTTATAATACAAATAAGTATATCTTGAATTTCAATAACATTAATTATAATACAAATAATAATATTTTTAATGTTAATATTAATATTAACAATAATAGTTATAATACAACTAAAAATATTTTTAATTTCAATAACATTAATTATAAAACATAAGTATTAATATTAAAAATATTATCATTTGTCTTATAAATATTATTACTATTATTATAATTAAAAATATTATTATTTATGTTATACATATTTTTATTTTTATTATAATTAATATTATTCATAAAATAATTAATAAATTTGTTAAAATTAGTATTATTATTATTATTGAAGAAAAACCATCATTTTTTTTAAGATTTAAAAATATAATTCAAAGTATTCATATTAAAAAAATCATTATTTGTATTCTAAATATATTATTTTAATTATAATTCTAAGTATTAATATAAAAATATTATAATTTGTGTTATAAATATTATTGGGTTTGTTAATATAATTATTTATATTATAAATATTATTATAACAAATAATTAAACACCAAGCACCTTGGGACTGTAGCCAAGCACGTGGGTCTGCCCATAGCGCTCAAGGTTGGTCACACCCCATGCTAGGTATTTACATGCTGAGGCCTTAGCCAGCCATAATACTAGATGACGAACCCTAACACCCTGGCTTGATAGCCCAATCACAAGACTTGATAACCTGATCTAATAAATTATCACCTCTGTCATTACATCATTCTCATTTTAATGGCAAAAATCACATGAACCATACCAACTATAATTCTTGACTAAAAACACAAGCAAGTAATGCTCCCCAGTATGCCAATATGCTACAATGTCATCCATAATTAATTATATCCTGATTCATAATACATGTACAATAAAAAATCATCATATATGTTAAGACATTACAAAGCAGTTGGGCAAGCTTTAATACATAGCAAAACAACTATGTAAGTCTACAGTGCATACATATACAATAAGTCCTTAGTAAATTGTCTCTTAGTCCATAATACATGCATGTACATAAAAAACCCACGCGTTTTAAAGTTCCATTAAT